AGTAGTAGCACTAGTAGTAGCAGCAGTAGTAGCAGTAGTAGTAGTAGTTGTTGTTTTTGTTTGGGTCTTTTCTGTAGGGCGAGTAGGAGTGGTCGTTGGAGCAACAAAAGCAGTGGCAGCCGCAACAGCCGCGGTTTCATGAGCAGCAGCAGCGGTGGCAGATGAAGTTGTGAATTAACATGAATGAACAGTGCCAGAGCCCAAAGCCCAAGCCGGAAATTCACAACAGATAGGCTTTGCACCTGATTTGACATGAAGGCACCTCCCCCTCGGCAAGTGTCTGGACTGGACTGCCTGGACCTATTCTGGAGGCGAGGTCTTCGAATTTGTACTACAGTTACTATGGCGGGCTCGGAGGTTTTGAGAGGACGGCGTACTTCCTGGATGTTCCTGGCAGTTTGGGCTTCAGCTTCACGTCAGCTAGGCTTGTATGATTGCTACGATCATGTTGGTTGCTGCACTTCTTATCACATCCATTTCTTCTGTCAAGAACTTACTACATCTTGTGCTGAACTGGTAGAAGAAAACACCGAAAGCAGCTGGTAAACGCTTCGTCGCTTGATTCACACCATGTTTCGGCAGCTGTTTTTGCTTCAATGCTACGCATAAGGAAAGCTTGAGCCTCTGGTGTCGAATCTGTAGCACCGCGCATGACGCAGCTGGAAGCTTGCTTGTTAGCAAGTTGTTTTGCAGAAATAGCTGCAGGGAGCGCCTGTAATTAAGGCTGCAGAACTGGCTCTGCCTCTCACTCTTGGCGATGTTTTTGGGCTCTCTAGTCTTTTTTTTTTCATTTGCCGCTTTTATTTGGCTTTTTGTTGATCATGGAACCCGGATCGTTATCGAATAGCAGTATCCACAAGAGGCAGGAGTCCCCAGCCCTGCCCACAGAAGCGGCGCAGCAACTCTGCTGTTGGTTGATGCCTTTCTAGTGGACTGAAGCGGATGGTGTTTTCGAGGAAATTTTCACTGGATGAGGTACCTTCCAGCTGCGACGCGGAGAGTGGGGACCTCGATTTCTCATGTGCCCCGTCCAGCATCTGCTTCGCCACCGGCGTGCGCAAGGGACACTTTTCTCGTTTGTTGCTCGGCCGTGCCAAATGCTGATAACATGGCCAGGAGTGTTTAATGTGTCAGGCCAAGTGAAAGTTGTAGCTTCAAGAAGAGAAATCTGGAGCCTTCAAACGCTTCCATTCTTCTCACTCACTCTTATCATTCCGAAGATGGTCGTGGTTTTCTCAAAAGGCAAGAAGTGCAGCGGTGGCCGCAGACCAGAAGATGCTGCATGTGTCTTGCTTCTCCTACTTCCTGTGCTGTTTGTTTTTGTTTTTCATAGTCTGTAACGGTTTCTTCCTTCCCGATCCCGGCCCAGAAACTCCGAAGCCTCCAAACCCCCACCCTGATCCTACACTGAACCATGACGCTAACCCAAGTCTCTCCGATCCTGAATCCCAACTCTCACATTGTAGTAAGCCCTAAGCGCAAACCCCAAACGCCCCCCACTCCCCCCCTCCCAAAAAAAAAAATCAAAACCTCGGAACTGCATGCATTGTAAACCCCATGCTCCGAGGCTCCGATGAGACCCCTGGCCCCCTGTCATCGCCAGTGAGACCGCGACCGAGGGCCGTGGTGCAGGTTCAAGGGATCAAAAATCCTGAAGCTAAAACCCTCAATCCCGAAAGCCAAGGCATTTCGGCATTTCCCACGCTCCCGACCCATGAGGGAACCCTTCCTCAAAAGCTAGGGCTCTTCAGGGGAACTCCCTGGCCCTTGAGGCCCCAAGTCGGAACTCCTGAATCCCAAACGCCTGAATTTCCAAGCATTTTCTAACCCCCAAAGGTTCAGTCAGGCTCTGGAGCCCCAACAGATTGTCTTAAGCTGCACAAGGATCATTGTAGGCTTAACTTGAAAACAACCCCCAGAAAACCATTAAACCCCTAAACACGATATCATGATACTGCATATCCTAAACCCTCAAGCCCTAAAGCCCCCAAAGCCCCGGAGGCTCCGCTGCCCCTTTGCCCGACTCCGGGAGCCAAGGGCTGCGGTGCGCTCTCCGCCAGTTTCGACTCCGCGAGCCAAGGGCTCGGAAGCTTTTATTCTTTAAAATTATATGGTGTTATGGGTTTAGGGTATGGTTTGCTAATAAGGTCTTATACGGCTTGTGGGGTTACACATTCATGGTTTGTTGCTTCTAGAAGGGATGCTACAGGGGTTTTTGGGGTTCAGCGTGGTTCCTGAGTTTTTGGGGGTACTCCAGCCCGAGACTGCTCACGACTGAGACAGACAGAATCACCTTTCGCAGCACACCCACATCGTGGTATGTATTCCTTGAAAATGCGGTACACCAGGGAAGCCCGGGAGTGGAACCCCCGGGCTCACATCCCTGGCAATTATGGGATCCTTGCTCTGATGCACCAGCACTGCGATACGTACTTCCAAGCCAAGACCACTGCCTAAAGGGGCCCCAAGCCACGCTTGCTGGATTCAACCTCCATCTTTGTCTGTCTTCCCCCGTACTCACCTGTGAGATGTTGGCAACCAATAAGGCCAGAAGCTTCACAGCTGGAGGCGAACCCTGATAAACCCAATCAGAAAATCTTATAAAACACAAAAAAAAAGACTCCCTAGTAGCCGACTCTCTGAAGCCCTGGAAAACCCCTAAAGTAGTCCATCTCTGAGAAGGCACGGCATCAGAGCCCCGGCCCGTTTTTACCAGCGGCCGCCGATTCGGCGAGGAGGCGCCAGCCTTGGGGGTGTTTCGGGCCTCAGCTGAAAAGACATAGTAGGGTTGCTTGCGAGTTTCTTTGGGGTTTCGTTAGGGCGCTTTGGGGTTTGTGAGGGTGTAGGGTTTCGTTTTGGGCTTCAGTGTGGTAGACTAGACAAACTGAGAAGGCGTGCGCCCGGTATTGCACTCCTTGGAAGCTATTGACTTCCAAATCTAAGCCCAAGACATCAGCTTGGAGGAAAGTTCACAGTTTCTTCGCGACCCCAATGGGCGATTGCTGATGCACACAGTCAGCTTCTTGTGCCATACCGACCATTCGGGCCAGATAACCCGGATGTTCTGAAAAGCGTCCGAAAACATGTCAGTTTCTCCCAACAAGAGAAGCGGCGTGAATCGTGCCATGTTTTCGACAGAATGTACTTCCAGTGACAATCAACCACATCGCCACACTTCGCAGGTTCCGAATCAGCGTCTTGTAATTTGGCCAACAGGCTGACCTCAACGACAGATGATCTCCGGCACAAATGGTGCTAACCACATGCGAGCAAGGCAAGTGAAACTTACACACAGCGGCGACGATGCCCGTAGGGATGGTGATAGCTGATAGCTCTAGCACTCCAGCGACACAGTAGTGATTGCGCTCGCACCGGAAAGCTCCAAGTCTTCAACAGCTTGGCCATTGTCATGATCTCCTTCGACAACTTGTTGCGAGTTACCCTTCCCTGCAAAAGGACTTGTCGCGAAGACTTGACGAGATCTGCCGGCAGCTTGATGCGGCCGGGAGCCTCAAGTCCGAGCTTCGCATCATCTTCGGGGTTCGTCACAGTGCCGATGCTTGTGGAGCAACTCACCGCCCAAACTGCAAAAAAAACCGAAGCTCTAAACCGAAATCTTGTCAAGAGATCCTGAAGCTTTCGAAAGAGCTACTTGTGCTCTTTGCAGGTCTTCTGATCGCGGAGGCAGCGGGTTCCAGCTCGATTAGGGTTTGCAGGAAGCTGCGGCCAGGGATACTGAGGCAAGCAGATCCTTAATTTGAGGTGGCGAGTAGTACCCGTTGTTGGTATCCTAGGTCCGAAAAATTCGAAAGGTCCTTATCTTAGCCAAGAGCGAATCGGGTGCCCCCCCCCACCACATCCTGGTCCATCGCTTTTCAACGTATCGCCACCCCAGTGAAATTTGAAGGGGTATCTGATTCGGGATTGCTGGAGTCGGATAGGACCTACATCCGTCGGTTTGTTCAAAATGAACATGACTGAAATTCAAACTTATTCCCGAACAAGAATGTCGATTACTGTCTAGATTTCGACTCCGGCGGAAGCAGGGATCACGCTTCTCTGTGCATAGACAAGGCGGGGCAAAGAGAAATTCGATTATTAGGTATTACGATTGAAAAACCGCAAATACATATCTTGATTTATTAATATAAAGATACAAAATATCGGGGCAACAAGATATTAGATGACTCTCCTTATGCAATTGTTCGCATATAAATTCAAAGAAATCGCCGATATTGACATGGGACAAGAAATAGAAATGATGATATTTTATTTCGGACGTTCGTGGGCCGGTATCTTTTATGATATCTGTTATTTTATGATTTGATATTGTATCGTCTCTTATTTTCTCAAAAATTTCGGTTTATTTATTTTTTTCGTTTATATTCTTCTAATTATATTATTTTTCTGAATTGATTGAATACATTTATTTTTCTATTTTTATTATGATTTTTCATCTTATATTATCTTATATTATATATTTTTGAATATATTTATTTATTCTCTAAAAAATATAAATTATTATGATTAAAATAATAATATAGGCTTTGGGGTCGGAGATGGTGGGGCGTAAAATTGGGGTTTAGGAATAATTTTAACTACCTATAATTCCTAAATCTCTAAACTCTAAAACTTTAAATCTTAAAATTCTAAACCTTAAAACTCTAAAATTCTATTTTCTAAAACTCTAAATTATAAACCCGATTATGCCGGGCTCTAAACCCATATAATATACATATATATATATTTATATATGTAT